CTTATAGTATCTCTGGACACCTGCATAACTGGATAGAAGCATTCCTGTCAAACAGACAACAAATGGTCAAAATTGGGAGCATCCTATCAAATTCTGTACTTGTCAACAGTGGTGTCCCCAAAGGCAGTGTTCTAGGACAAACTCTTTTCATACTCTACATAAATGACCTCTGTAATCACATCAAGAGCAACTGCGTTCTCTTCGCTGATGATGTAAAGCTATTCAACACCACAGACAATACTGCTACCCTTCAAAAAGACCTTGACTATGTATCAAAATGGTCAAACAAATGACAACTTCAAATCTCAACAAAGAAATGCTCTGACCTACATATTGGCAAAAAAAAAATCAGAAAATAAAATACAGGCTGAATAGTCAAGACCTTGTTGATGATCCAAACTCTGTCAAGGATCTTGGAGTACTCATCTCAAATGACCTAAGTGCTAGAGCCCACTGTAACTACATAGCCAAAAAGGCGTTAAGAGTTGTTAACCTAATCCTACGTAGCTTTTTCTCTGGTAATATCACACTGCTAACTAGAGCATATAAAACATATGCTAGAGCAATACTCGAATACAGCTCATCAGTCTGGAACCCACATTACGTATCTGATATTAACACAGTTGAGAAAGTCCAGAAATATTTCACAAGAAGAGTTCTCCACTCATCTACTCATTGCAGAATACCTTATGCCACCAGACTCGAAATTCTAGATCTAGAAAAACTAGAACTACGCCACCTTTGGTCCAATCTAAGTATTGCATATAAAATCATACATTGCAGTGTCCTACCTGTCAATGAATACTTCAGCTTCAATCATAACAACACTAGAGCAAATAATAGATACAAACTCAAGGTTAATCGCACCAAACTTGATTGCAGGAAATACAACTTCAGCAACAGAGTGGTCAATGTCTGGAATACTTTACCTGACTGTGGGTTTTTCCCCAAACCCCAAAAACTTTAACCTTAGACTATCTACTATTGACCTCACCCCTTTCCTAAGAGGTCTGTAGGGGGCGTCCATAAGCGCACCAATGTGCCTACCGTCCCTGTCCTATTGTTTCTTTTATTTTTTTTTTATTTTTCTTATATGTATCCATGTATTCATAACTATGTTTTTACTTATACCTATTATCTTGTAAGCAATTGACAAAAATAAATAAATAAATAAAAATTCACCAAAGAAAGAAAAAAATATACCTGGAGAAGAACTAGATGTAATAGACCACTACATATGCTTTGGCCAATGAAAAATATACTAATTTCGGTGTCTATGTTATTTTTGTTGTAGTGTAGAAACTGATTTCTCTTTTATTTCCATAGCCATCTTTCCTGTCAAGTTGTTAATTTTCGTCTGCATCTAAAATATTTTATGGTACATGTTATGGAGATGTTGTTGGAGACCAATTATCCAAATTGGGGTTCAAGCAGAGAATTAGTTAAGACTCGCTACATAAAACACAAGCCAGCACCTGAATGCCTTTGAGCCTTATCTGGTCTTTCCCAGATGAAAACTGCCAGTCTTGGGAGATTCCTGTATTATAGGCAGAAACAATAAAGTAATAGTTTGAACTCTACATGTGTCAATCTAGTTGTTCGTGCTGACAAATGACAGATCAACATCTCAGGGCCTGTGTTACAAAGCTTGACATAAAAAACAAAAAATTACTGTGAAGATATGTTGCCAACAAATCTTGCTATGGAATATAACAACTCATATACTGGTTCGTTTTGCAAATTTGCAGCACAATAAATCTGATAAAGTTTAAGCCTTAATGTACCCCAGGACTAATTTTCTATTTGTTGTAAGACTATCATTTCTTATCTTTGGAAATAAATAATACAATGGTTGTTATAGAAATAATACTTTACTCCCAAGGCAGCTAAACTTATTTCCTTTTGCGCAAAGAACATTGTGTTCTGTGCATTGAGATTAGGAAAATGAAGATAAGGGATTTTAATTTTGGAAGCTGCCCATAAATATAGATAAAAAAGACTGGAATTTGTTCAGAGGCAGGCAACAAAATTATTACAAGTATTTCTTTGAGTACAGAGGATGAAATATGTTGTTTCCTAAATAAACAAGAATAGGAACTGTTAATGGCATTCAAATTGACTTCTCAGAATCCTTAGAATAATCTTTCTTTGGAGAAATTTGGCAGACGGAATATGGCCACTATCCAGGATCCTGTAAGAGTGAATTTTCTGCATGGGCACATATTAAGACCAAATAACCTTGGAGTTCTTAAATCAAAGAGGCTGTAGAAAAAATAAAACTTTTATGGGTTGTTGTAAAGATATTACATTTATTTAGTTTTGTTTTTGGATTATTCAAAGTAAACTACAATGTGTGAATGAATAAATAAAAGCTATCTCAACAGTCAGATTTATTCATGAAACTATAATTTAATGGGGTCACTGTTGGATCTTTCTTGTCTTCTAACAATTCTCTAAAATTGGTGCTTGCTGATAGAATTGATCAATTGCAAGTATCATCTGATTTATAATTTAAAGTCTTAATAACTTTCCTTTTTGTTATGCATAATGCCCAAGATAAGATGATTCACCAATGGTGGGCAACCTTTGGTCTGTAGTTTCTGTGAATTTTTTATTCCTAACCATTTCAGTCACAATTTCATGGAAAGTTGATAGCAATTAGTGAATTTTGAGTTAGTGACAATATTTATCAATATATATATATATGTAAACTTCCTAGGGAGGTGCTAGATTCTCAGCTGGAGGCTTTTAAACATTGCCAGCGTTGAGATTTAATTCAGTGTCTCATTTCTCAGAATGAAATTAGAAAGAGATCATATATTCCATTTGCTCAAATATTAAAAAGCCTGTAGCTCAGTGTGGTGACCCTCTTACCTTCAGAGTTCCCTTTTCTTTTTTTGCTCCTCAACCCAAATTTGCTTCCTTGCAATTTAAACACTTTGTTTCATGTACTGTCTTCTGGAGTGAGTAATTCTGCTCTATCTTTTACATAACACTATCTTGCCTACTTGCAATTTTTACTGCCCCAGGCTGAACTACCTAAGACTTCCACCCTTCCTCCTAAGCTTTTCCTGCAAAGTCCCTGGTCGTCTTGCTTGTTCTCCTCTGCATCTCAACCACCTTCCTAAAATGCAGTGCCCAGGAGTTCTCTGTTGTGGTTGTTCCCCTCTGGAAAAGGACACCTGTCATCTTCTCTGTCGTTTTTTTCCATTCTAAGAAATTCTGTGTGGAATTGCTGACATCTTGGCACTAACAAAAGCTATTCTTAATAATGACTCAATGAATAGGGACTCAATTCATAAAGAATACTCTTATTTTCCTAACAGGAAACTTCCATTCACCTCAGTAAATAATTTACAACTGCCAAGCAGAATGAACAATTGATTTCATATATGTCTAAAGTAAACTATAGAGCCAGTTTGTGAAGAGAAGGACCAGGGGAGACATGATTGCAGTCTTCCAATATTTGAGGGGCTGCCACAGGGAGGAAGGGGTCAAGCTATTTTCTAAAGCGCCTGTAGGCCAGACAAGGAACAATGGATGGAAGCTGAACAAGGAGAGATTTAACCTGGAAATAAGGAGAAACTTTCTGACAGTGAGAACAACCAGCCAATGGAACAGTTTGCCCTCGGAAGTTGTGCGAGCGCCATCACTTGAGACCTTCAAGAAGAGATTGGACTGCCATTTGTCAGAAATGGTGTAGAGTCTCCCGCTTGGGCGGGGGGTTGGACTAGATGACCTACAAGATCCCTTCCAACTCTGATTATCTGTTATCTGTCAATTTAAGCCACCAAGATTGTGAGTTCTAGTCCCACCTTAGGCAATCTTACCAAGAAAACTGCAGGGACCTGTACAGGAGGTTATCAGGAGACAAAACTGACTTGTAGGCATGTCTTTTCAAAAGAAATAAACTAAATTGGGTAACATGTTATCCTTTGGGTATTGGACTTATATCCAGTATATTTAACAAGAACTAAGCTCAATACTGAAAATGACAAATCTCAAAAAGCACAATGCAGAAATGAGATGACACAAAAATATTTGTTCTTCATTATATTTTCTTTGCAAATTGATCACCAAACCATTGCCCATCTGTTCATGGAACAATACAATAAAAATGAAACTATTCATTCTTTGTCCTGGTTTTAATAATTTAAAACAATGCAGCCATCCCTTAAAAGAATTTCAGACAGATGTTGGCCTATTTTTCACAGTTCTTCTGGATATATTTGCTACAAGATTTACATTCCTGGACATTCCTTTTATGACTTGTGGATGTCAACTCCCAGAATGACTGGCTCAGGAATTCTGGGAGTTGAAGTCCGCAGGTCATAAAAAGACCATTGTTTCCCAGCCCTGCTGTAGAGGCTGGGAAGTTTGGGAGTTATAATTTAATGCAAGTGGAAGGCAACAGTTTTGTACATCACAAAGTAGGGATAGTGGAAACCAAAGTTTATTTATGAACAGTTATAAAATAGAAAAGACCAACTTACAATTTCTTTTTTCTTTTTAAAAAGAGAAAACAATCTTACGTTTCATAATTTGTGGATAAATTTGGGCTTCACTGCAGTTGACATCCAAATGATGTCTTAAAAAACACCATAGTGTAAATGGGAATGTTGTATTTTTCTTAACTGACTCGGTCTTAAGCAACTGATGAGCACAGAATAACAGAATAACAGATATAAATATCTATGGCCTCTTGGAATCATGGCATATAAATTTACTACAGTAATAAATCTTACCTTAATCTTATGGCTATCAGATCAGGACTGAAAAATCCAGTTAAACTTTTCTGTACCTCTTTCCTGATGTCTGGATCTGATAGCTCTAAACCTTCTTTGCCATAACTCATGATATGAGCACCATTTTAAAAAACATGAAAATCATAGTTAAGTTACCACGTTCCAGGGGATAGGGCCAGATGGTGTCTGTTTATGAAACCCTTAATTGCAACAAGAATTGCTTATTGTCTAGCCTAGAGTTTTTCAAATGTGTTAACAAGGCTGCTGTACTATATGCACTCATTGTCTTTACTAGAAATAACAGATCTGGGGCACAAAAATCCAAATAATTGCTCAGTGCTATCAAAGAGTTAAAAGTTTTATTAAATGGTTTGCTGCCCTCCAGATTTGTGCAGCCCGTATGTGGTAGCCCTACCTTCAAGAAATCATCTAGGATCAAGTACACTTTGCTGATTTCTGAACAACTTGCTGGTTAGTTCAGCTGATAGAAAATAAAATTGCAGCTCTGTGATGCTACTGTAGAAATCATCTATTTAAAAGTGGATACAACAAAACAACAGACCTATTCTGCCACCTGGTGGCCAATAAACATGTATTCGATATTTATTCTTTCTAAATAGTTCAAAGTAGAAAAACTTGTGACTTCTAGCAACAGGCATTCCCAACAAAATGTGCGTACTCCAAAAAGGATTCAGAAGAAGCCTTCAGACCTTGTGCCATCCAACAACTCTCTATTAATTGAGTATCCCCACTTTCTTCAGACTTCTGCCCAAGCCAGAAAAAAGGTGCTACTGCTTTAAGAGCTGAGAAGTGGTTTCCTTAAAGCATTATCCTTTTTTCCCCTCTCTCTCTCTTTGCAGAAGCCTGAGAAAAGAACGAAATGTCTGTAACAAATAGCAAGTTGGTTCTGCATTCATATGAAATCTGAAGCACTTCTCTGAGTAAGTTTTTGAAGCGTGCAGGGCCTTTTGGTACCCACATAATTAATAGCCTTTAAATACATTTTAAAACCCACAAAACCTGGAAAAACCAAAGCAATCGTATCGATCTTTTATACAAGCCAGCATACCATCAATGAGGTGGCATCCAGGTGGGAAGCAAAGGACAAAAAGACCCTGATGCAATGCAAGTCCCATGCCTTGGGTACACGCATCATGATATATGCACGCATGAAAGGGGAGGAGCTTGCACACGACATCATTATGCTGTTTTTGTCATTTTAATGAAATGGCTTTTGTGGAATCTACACCGTGGTTGTTTTTTTTTTAAGGAGCCACAATTATTTTGATGGTGTTTTCACACTGTAATCAGGAAGGCACTAATGATTCCATTTACTAATTTCTTTGAACAAGATAGCTTCCAATGAAGATAATTTAAAGTCTTGCGGGAAGTTAAAAACCTCTTCCGTTCTCTTGCTGTTCCAAACATAAAAACCAGGCTACATTTAATTAAAATGTTATGCTTCAGATGGGCTTTTTCAGTGTTGCTTTTCTCACGCTGCCGAGATAAGCATCATAGATGACGTTTAGGAAGTTGTCGTCATTCTGAAAACACAAACACATTAGTTAAAAGGAATCTCAAGGAAATCATAATGTCATTTTTTTTTAAAAAAACTCTGGGGGATCAGGATGTTTGCAGCTCTGATAAGGTAGCCCTAAAACACATGCACTTATACACATAGAAGACAGATTAAATGGACACTCCATGGAAAACAACATTATTATTATTTTATTTTATTTTATTAAATAATTTTTTATTAATTTTCTTTTTTTTTACATCGTAAAACATCAGGGTATCAACAACGTTCTTGGCATCTATACAAGATTTTGATTTAAATATCATATTGCATTATATTGCGTTTATCTACTATTAAATAATATCTTTAGCTTTAATATTATTCTTATATCTTTATATAGTTTACAAAATTTTATTTTACTTTCTTAATGGTTGTTTCAATTAACATTTTTGTCTCACTTTTTGGTTCTGTTTGTTAGCCATTTATACCAATTGTTCCAAATTGTAAAGAATTCAGAGTCGTCTTTTTCTTTCAATTTCATTGTTAGCATATTTATCTCAGCACTTTCTGTTACTTTGTGTATTATTAGTTCTTATTATTAGGTATTTGGTGTTTTCCATACCTGCGCAAAGGCTATTCTGGCGGCTGTTATAATATGTAACGCTAGGTATTTTACTTCTTTGGTAGTCTTTCTTTAATGATTCCTAATAGGAAGGATTACGGTCTGAGCTCAATCTGATAGCCAGTGATCTCTTTTAACCAATTTTTAATTTGAATCCAGTATGTCCTGGCCTTGGGGCACATCCACCACATGTGATAAAATGTACCATCAACTTTTTTGCACTTCCAACATTTAGGGCTCATATTGGAGTAGATTTTTGCCAATCTTGTTGGAGCTAAATACCATCTATAAAACATTTTATGTTTTCTTTGTATGCGGCAGATACCGTTAATTTATACCATGTTTCTCCAACAATACGGCCTCCACCAATAGGAAGGCCCAGCATGTTTTATCGGCATAAAATCAAATTAAGCCCCTCCCCCCAAATTAAGGCCTATATTAAACATGCAAAATGGGGGGGAATGGCGGGGGAGGCTTGCCGTTAGGAAGTAGTTTTGTTGCATACCCGGATATGGTGCTGCCTGTGTTGACTTTGGCATTGGTGGGGCACTTCGTATCAGGAGACCTTCTTCCACCATTGCTTTCCCTTCTCCCTTGCTGCCGCGGCATTTAGAGCAATGCCGCGGTGTTTGGCGCAGCCATGTGTGGCCAGCCAGGGCTCCTCCCTGCAACCAGAGCCCGGCGGAGACACTCGGCTTCAGGCGCTCCTGTCACCGCCTTCCCTTCCCCTTTGAAGGCAAAGCCAATTCTTTTAAAAATGACGCCCTACTACCGGTACGACAAAGCCTCCCCTGCCCGAGAGGGCAGCCCAACCCCATGTGGGGAGGCGAATCTCCCGGGGCCGCAGCGTAGGATCAGCTCACCCCAGGAGAAGCACCCAGCCGCCATCCCTGCCTGGCGCCGGGCAGAGCGCGAAGAGCTTCGCCTGGGGCGCCCAGCGCAGCTGACAGGCAGGCCCTCCTGCCCAGCGGCGGAGCTCTCGCCAAGGCAGCGAGCACCTCCCCGCTGGACCCTCCACTCATTCCGCCAGGGCCGCGCCAGAGCCATGTGGGCTGGGCAGAGCCAGGAAAGCAAGCCGTGGGTGTACGCCCGCCTGCCAAGCAAAAGAGCCGGGCTGACCTGAGCTTGGCTTCCTTCCCAAGTCCCTCCAGCGTGAACCCGAAGGGGCCACCAGGAGAGGCCACCCGAGGCAGTTATAGCGCCCACCCATCCGTGGACAGGGAGGCAAGGCGACGACCTGCACCACGTCCTCCTCCGAGCTGTGCCCCGCCGAGTCAGCGCCTCTGCCTGATGCCCGTTCCACTGCAGCGTTTGGAGCTGCCGGCGCATTTGGAGATGCGTGGGGATGGGGGACGGGCTGGGCGAGAGGTGGAAAGGACGGGCGGCTTCGGGCTCTCTCCGCCGGCCAGGGAAGCAGCGCTGCCATCACCTCGCCTCCCTGTCTGTGGACGGGTGGGCGCTATCACTGCCTCGGGTAGCCTCTCCTGGTGACCCCTTCAGGTTCGCACTGGAGGGACTTGGGAAGGAAGCCAAGCTCAGGTCGGCCCGGCTCTTTTGCTTGGCAGGCGGGCGCGCACCTGCGGCTTGCTTTCCTGGCTCTGCCCAGCCCACACGGCTCTGGCGCGGCCCTGGCGGAATGAGTGGAGGGTCCAGCGGGGAGGTGCTCGCTGCCTTGGTGAGAGCTCCACTGCTGGGCAGGAGGGCCTGCCTGTCAGCTGCGCTGGGCGCCCCAGGCGAAGCTCTTCACGCTCTGCCCGGTGCCAGGCAGGGATGCCGGCTGGGCGCTTCTCCCGAGGTGGGCCGATCCTGCGCTGCAGCCCCAGGAGATTCGCCTCCCCATGAGGGGTTGGGCTGCCCTCTCAGGCAGGGGAGGCTTTGTTGTAGTAGGACATCGTTTTTAAAATAATTGGCTTTACCTTCGAAGGCAAAGGGAAGGCGGTGACAGGAGTGCCTGAAGCAGAGTGTCTCTGCCGGGCTCTGTTTGCAGGGAGGAGCCCTGGTTGGCCGCACATGGCTGCGCCAAATGCCACGGCGTTGCTCTAAACGCCACGGCAGCAAGGGAGAAGGGAAAGCAATGGTGGCAGAAGGTCTCCCGATATGAAGTGCCCCACCAACGCCAAGGTCAACATCCAAGCTGTCGCTGCCCGCCCACCCGAGGATGCAAGGGGGGGAATTAAGTCACCCCCGAAAAGATGGCCTAGCCGTTTTTTCGGGGGTCAAAAAAAAAAATAAGGCCCGGCCTTATTTTGTGAGAAACACGGTAATTTATATTCCATATTTTTTCCCATTCCTCTAATTCTGTAGTGTATCCAAAATTCTGTGCCCATGCAATCATTGTACTTTTAACTATTTCCTCTTCCATTTTAAAATCTAATAACTCTAATAAATATTTATATATTTAGTTATAAGTTTTTACATATATTCACAAATGCTAAAAAAAACCTGGCAAAAGTTACACCCAAAGCAGACACACACACACACAAAGATCAGACAAATAACCCATGTGATTTTTCTCCCTAATTTATCATGTTGTAAGCTACCCTGTCACCTGACAGTGAGATCAGCAGCATATAAATTTAATAAATAAATACCCTTTAAAAATAATAACATTTGTGAATAAGTTCTCAAATAAAACACTGGGGAGTAATATAACTATCATATCTAGGCTGCAAAAATCCAGATTTAGGTTAAAATGTTATATAACTCTCTGCTGACATCATATAGTGATCATCAAAAATTTTGCAGCCCAGATATAATAATTCTAGGTTAAAACTTTCTTGCTGTTTTTATTTTCTAAGATAGTCTAAATTTTTTTAAGGAAGGCCCATGATTTTAAAGGATGATGTTTTATTTTTGGAACGCCAGCTTTCCATTTATTTATTTAAATGATATTTTATTATGTGACGTTATCTGCTCAGAAAGTTATGCAAGCATCATGAGAAGTCTTCATGAATATGTTGGTACTGATTATTCCAAAAGTGCTTTTCCAAAAGGCAACTGGACTTTGTTGGGTATTTTTTCCCTTGAAAACGTTTTGCTTCTCATCCAAGAAACACTTTGAGTTCACTTCTTGAATGGGAAGCAAATCGTTTTCAAGGGGGGGGGGGAAAGCAAACAATTCCAATTGCCTTTTGGAAAAGCACCCTTGGGACAACCATGACCCAGATCAGGGGTGTCAAACTCCTGTCATCACGGTGGCGTCACGTGACATATCGGGACTTTCTCCCCTTCGCTAAACCAGGCATGGGTGTGGCCAGCGCGTGACACACCCAGCCCGCGAGCCGGGAGTTTCACAGCCCTGACCTAGATGAGTAAGCATTTCCATAGACATCAGTACCAGTGGATACCCAAATGGAAACTCTAAGGATATTGCTGAGAAATCCAATTCTACTTCTCTTTTATAAAGCCCATCGACAGTCACGGACCAATCAAATGATGTTTTCTAGCTAGTCTCATAGAACACATAATAGGAATATGTGGCTTTCCAAAACCAACCGTCGATTTCAATATATGAAGATTTTTCTGCATTAACAATTAATGGCGTTATAACTGCATTGTAATTCCATTGTAGCATCCAACAATAGCAGTAAGACGACTACCTTGTACAACTGATGCACAACAACAAAGTTTGCTTTCACTCCAAATCTTTTATCTCATATGTACGAACATCATAATCAACAAAAGGTATAGGTGGCTAAGAGTTGAGGATGTCCTACCTGGATCAGATGCAGAAGCGTTTCCTGTAGCTGTAACTTGGTTAGTGGGTTGCTTTTTGGGATGGTTGCTTCTGAGTTCTGTAGAGGCAGAAGAAGGTTTGCTGAACCAGAAGTACTTTCTTGATTCATGACTGGCAGCCATCTGCTTTCATTTGGTTTTGGCAGTTGTGGGGCACTCTGACTAAATACCATTGGGGACATCAGCAGTGATGGAGCTATAGTAGCGGGAATCCACTGCGGGGAGATGACCTGCTCCCAATATACAAGGAATTATACATTAATTCAATGTCTACATCAATCCAACTCATAGACACACAAAGCAGAGGTTGAATAACACTAATCTCAGCATTAAAAACAGGTAGATTGAGGCAAACAGGTTTTATTTTAATAAAAGGCAGTCAATTCTCTAGATTGAAATCATCTTGAGAAGACAATATCATATCTTAGTGGCAACAATACTCTATAAAACTGGGTTTACAGAATCAGTTCTGGTTTGAAGAGTAGAAATGCTGAGGCCAGGGCCAAATAACTTATTTAATTGGAGAAAGGCTACTGTTTTTGTTTTCCCCATCCCCTTTCCTGTCCGTTCTTACAGGCTCAAATGCAAAAAGAAAAAAAAAATCTCCTTTTGTTTTTAGTTTGTTTTACTAGCCCTTTCCCAGTAAAAACGGAGCTTGGGGTAGGGAGAGAGCGGCTCCCTGAGCTCCGTTTTCGGTCACAATGGCCTCCTGCAGTCCTCTGCCAGTGAAAACGGAGCTTGGTGTTTAAGATATATATATCTTAAACATAGATATCCAAGAATTAGGGTCATAATGCAATCACTTTCTTGAAGTTCAACAGGCTGAACAAAAGCTAGCTGGGAGACTGCAAAATCCAAATTAATTTCAGACATCTTCTCTCTAAAACCACCTGTTTCCTTAGAGATTGCGTGGGATTTTTCATTTGTCTACAAAAGCCAGTATTTCCTTGAATACATCAAACCAAGGACTGATGCAGGATTTAAAATTAAAAAGAATAAAATAAGTGTTGCTGTACTAATGCATTCGGTCACAGAGTCCAAGGCGCCAAGCATCACATTAAATTAAATGAGAAAGTGCATTAGTTGCTGAATCTGGTCTTTGATATGCATTTCAATTCATTAGACAATGTTAATTCATTTTGTCCAAAGCCAGGGTTGGCTGCCCATGGCCTCCAGTTATATATTTTGGCAGCACCTGCTGTGTTATGAACTGCAGCCTCTTTTGGAAAGCAGGTTGTGTATCGTACCACATTATCATGGTCAGAACACTGGAAGACAGCAATGAAATACCACACAGATGGCCGGCTCATCCCGCTGACCCCCGCTGATGAGACAAACATTTTGTAATTAAAGAAGAAAACCTGATATGCAGCTTTAGCAGGATTTCTTTCTGCCTAAGAACGTTTGAAAGTTTATCAAAATATAGGAATATTTTATTCGATTTTTTTTTCTTATCCTGCCTTTATTATTTTATAAGTAACTCAAGGCAGAGGACATACCTAATTTTTCCACAACAATAACCCTGTGAGGTGGGCTGAGACTAAGTAACTGGCCCAAAGTCACCCAGCTGGCTTTTATGGCTAAGATAGGTCTACAACTCACAGTCTCCTGGCTTATAGACCAGCAACTTAACCACTAGGCCAAACTGGCTCTACACTACACACAATATTCCAGCAAGTTCTCTTCCTGCCAAGTTCTCTATGGAGAGTTTTCCGAAACACCTTGCTAGAACTAAATATCAGAAAACCCCAACTGAATCTGACCAATAGACTAATAAATTGACTAACAGTCCAGCAACCTGGTTTAAGAATCTCACCAGCAGGATAGGAAAACAGTAGTGTTCTTCCCTGGTTGCTTCCAGAAGCTATTATCTAAGGCTACCCTGTCTGTGATCCAAGAAATATTTTACTGCCACTAAGATGCATAGTCATTGGAAGCTCCAACTTCCATAAATTTTCTAAGGGGCACCTATTAAAATCATCCTAATGGGTGAACATCACCACACAGGGTGGCAACCAATTTCCTAATTTAAACATGCACTGTATTTAGTGCCCTTCCTTTCATCTGTTCTGAACCTGCCAGAATTTTTAATTCAGTTGAGGACTCCTAACACTTGAGAGGAAGTATTTTCTTTGTCCATATTTGTATATGTGGTTTTTTTTGGAAGGGGGTGTTGGAGTGCCTTTACATCAATGTTGACTCCTAGCAACCGTTTAGACAAGCGTAGGAGAAGGAGTGGCAGAACCTGGGGGCAGAGATAAAAGAGGGACTAGCCAAGAATCCCAATGTAGCCACAAGCGAACCTCCTTTGACCCTTATCTAATGCCAAGCAGGTTGTAACCATTTATTGAGAAGATTCTTTTACATAGGCAGGATTAGTAATAAATTAGTTTAATGGGAACTTCATGAGTAGACCTGATCTTTCACGCCTGACAACAGTTCCTTCAATTTTCTTGGCCATGTTTTTGGATGTGCTTCGTTTTCTAGGGCTGAGAAAGGAATTGGTCCAATGTTACCCAGCTCACTTTATGCCTGCAGTGGGAGTAGAACTCACAGTCTCCCAGTTTCTAGTTTGGTATATCTTTACACCAGATCAGTTCTCTGTATTGGCCTGTAACTTTTGAATGTACCCTCAATCCCTTTTTAAAAATTGACCACTTTCCAGCCCCAACAGACACTGTGCTAATATGCGTGTTCTTAATAATTTGTATATCTAAAATAGAATAAACAATTTCCCATATGAATTCTTTAAGAATGTTTAGGTATGTGCCATCTGGATCCAGTGAGTTGCTTGCTTTTAATTTGTCAATAATCCCTAAAACTTCAGCTCCTCACTCACCATCTGTCTCATTTTTCTCACTGCAAAGAGCCAAGTCAGGCACATAGTATACATCCTTTGCCATGAGAACATAAGTGAAAAATTGAGTTTCTTGGTGTGACTTGAATATACCTTTAATGCCTTATTGACCAAAGGCCCTTCTGAGTCCATTTAAATTAATTTAAGTTGAAATTACTTTTTTTAACCACACATGTTGAGACTCTAGAAAGAATGCAGAGAAGAGCAACAAAGATGATTAGGGGACTGGGGGCTAAAACATATGAAGAATGGTTGCTGGAATTGAGTACGTCTAGTTTGATGAAAAGAAGGACTAGGGGTAACATGATAGCAGTGTTCCGATATCTCAGGGGCTGCCACAAAGAAGAGGGAGTCAAGCTATTCTCCAAAGCACCTGAGGGCAGGACAAGAAGCAATGGGTGGAAACTAATCAAGGAGAGAAGCAACCTTGACAGCCTTTCCTGACAGTTAGAACAATTAATCAGTGGAACAACTTGCCTCCAGAAGTTGTCAATGCTCCAACACTGGAAGTTTTTAAGAAGATGTTGGATAACTATTTGTCTGAAGTGGTGTAGGGTTTCCTGCCTAAGCAGGGAGCTGGACTAGAAGAACTCCAAGGTCCCTTCCAACTCTGTTATTCTATTCTAGTATGTATCTGATTTAAATTTGATCAGATATGTCCATTTTCTGAATAAATTCAAATCCAATTATGTTCTGTTTTTGTTAATTGCTTCAGTAACATGCATTTCTACTCTGCTGAGACTCATTTCACAGATTATGGTTTTGAAGCCATATGGAGATGCGATACAAGCCAATTTGAAACGAGACTTACAAGATACCGACTGGTAAGGAAGTACAAACAACAGACACTAGTTACTGAAGGAAATCATGATGAGTTCTTTAAATACATGTTTGTTCAGTTCAATATTCAAGATGTTGTCTAGGCAACAGGCAACACCAGGCAGACTTTGCAAAATTTGGTCCACTGTCCTTTGAAAAGACGATGAGAGCAGATGCAATTCACGAAGATAAACAATTCTAGGGAACAGATTTTGGGAACGTGCTCATTATCAAAGGTCTGCTCTGAACTGCCTGAACATCTGTAAATGTGAATCAGCCAACATTATTTGATGGAAATGTTTGTCCTTAGCTAGGGTGACAAGAAAAGTCTATGAGCAAGGCAGAGCGCCCTGATACAGGACAACAATAATAATCAGCCCATTTTTCTTTATAAATGTATACCTTGCTACGTAATAGGGATAACACATTTGAAATTAGGCATTTGTCCTTATGCTTGGACATGGCTTTTGGGTGTTGTGGCTGATAAATATGGGATGTGATAGAAAGATAAAATAGGGAGCTAATCTTACTGATGACCTGGGAAATCAAGTCCTGGGAATATTGATAAGGAGAGAATAATTTCATGAGTGTGTTCGGCAACATTTGTTGATGTACCAGAAAACCAAGTGTTTTCCAGGTGCCCTGCCAAAGGCCAATCTGGCTGGTTGGAACAGACTTTTGTTCTGACCAAGGCTTCCGAGACTGTAATTACGCACACGCTTATTTTAAAAACAAGTGTTGTTTTAATGCAATGCTGGGAATTATTTTCATTCCCAGCTGGTAATGAATGTCAAACAGTCCCTCAAGATAAGCACCCACCTTTCTTCCCTGTGAAGTGCTGCCAATAACAAAAGTGTCAAATGAACTAGAAAAAAAAAAAACCAACCAAAGTACGAAGAACTTCAAGAATGAATCTGAACCGAACGAATGACTTTGCTTCCTGCAAAGGTTTCATCATCTTTGCCTGTGGGAGAGGCAATCACCTCCCAGCCTTACTCCAAAGTTGCCCCTTTTGTTTCAGCTGTTATCGCTTTCTAGCAGCTCTGCGCACGCGTGCACTGGGAAGAGGCTCCCCTGGGCCCTCTGCCTTGCTGCTGCCAGACTCCAAGGGGCTGCTCGAAGGAAAGAGCAGGAAAGAGCAGCTGAAGCAGCAAGGGCGACTCAGAGTAAGGCTGGAAGGTGATGGCCCCTCCCATAAGGGATAAAAGCCAGCCTTCGGGGTTGGCTTCTTTGCAGGAAGCAAAGAAGTTCTTTAGACTCAGAGTCCTTGTTGAAGCCCTGCTTACTCCGGTTTGTTTTTGAAACTTCTGTCGGTGGATATTTAATCAGTAATCAGTCTTCAGTTCTTGGCAGCCTTTTGCAACCTTGAAAGGGCTTGCTTTTGATATTGGACAATTAGGTTTAAATGTCTCTTGGCTGGGAATGCACTGAATTCCCAGTGCTGCATTAAAAAAGGTTTGCTTTTATACACAGTTTTTGTTTGTTTAATTTGAACAAGGCTTGGGTCAGAACACTCTGGGAATGCTACAATGGTCATAAGTGCAAGGACTAATTGTAAGTCAGTTTTTTTCAATGCCACTGTAACTTTGAATGGTCCCTAAATGAATGGTTGTAAATGAAGGACTACCTATAAATCTCTACCATATCACCTGTGGGAAAAAGTTAGGCACTATTTGTAGGAGACCCCATTATCTGTCCTCCTGCTCCAGGGCAAATCTATTCCCACAAATTGGGAATGCTGCAAATTAATCCTGCAAGGGATCCCTGAAACATAAAGATCTCCAGCTCCTCAACATAATCCTGGTTATGGAATAAAAGAGTCCACTCTCTAAGTCAGGGGTGTCAAACTCAAGGCCTGGGGGCCTGATCTGGCCCACGGGATGCTTAGATCTGGCCCGCGGGACTGCCCTAGAAACAGCAAAAGACCGGCCCATGGTGCCTCTGCCAGCGGAAACGGAGCTCAGGAGCGGTACCCCCCGCTCCTCTGAGCACCATTTTCACTGGCAGAGGGCAGCAGGCGGCTGTCACAGCTGAAAACGAAGCTCGGGAACCCGTTTTCACTGGCAGAGCACTTGAGCCACCAGATGCCCGCAACACAAGTGATGTCAAGCTGGCCACGCCCACCATTGCCACGCCCACCCCATCAACCCTGATGAAGCCCGCAATGAAATCGAATCTGACACCTCTGCTCTAGGTGTATTTTTTTATTATCTATCAAGTATATTACGTTGCAAAGCTGTCCTGAGCTGTTGGTTTTTTTCCATTTAATTCTAATGAAAATGTCATAAGCATCCTTTAAAAAAATCCTTAAACAGAAAATGAGTCATCTGTTCAATTGTTGTTTTTCACCTCACTTGTGCTTTCACACTTCACGTTACTTCAACTTACAGAGCTTGCGAATAAGCTCTTTTCCCAATTTTACTTGTAAAGAAATACTTGGCTGTTACCTGCCAGGTTGGGTCTGAGAAATGGCAGACGATCAGAACAAAATGAATAAGTCAAAGGGCAATTCCTCCTAAGAATACAAAGCCCATTATTCAGATAGGGACTTTCTGATGAGTTTCAAACTGTTTAGTATTGATGGAAGCAGGAAGGTTGGAAGGTGGGGGGGGGATCGTATTATCATTTCAAAATGCCTTTTGAAAAGTTCAACGAGAACAGTGACAAATGGATGCAAGTTCACGGAAGAACTACCAAGATGGTGAAAGGTCTCAAAGTCAAGCTATTTCAGGAATGGTCAAAGGATCTGGATATGTCTAGTTTACAACGAGGCATGATGGCAGCCTTCAAGAATCTGAAGAACCATGACACAGGAATAGAATTGTTTTCTATTCTATCTAGACATAACTAGAACTATAGGTGAAAATTGCAAAGAAAGAGAACCAGACTAGAGATCAGGAGGAACTTTCCCACTGTTGGCCAATAGAAGAGGTTGCCATATAAAATGGTGAGTTCATTGTTAAGTCTTTTAACAGAGGTTGGATGAGTATTAGATCCTGCAGTTCAACTGGATCAGTGTTTCTCCTTCATGGCAGTCGAATTCTGTGACTTGAAGTCCACACGCTTGGAAATTGCCATAGTTGGAAAACAGTCCACTAGGTGAACCTTGTGGGGTTCCTTCAAACTCCATATTTCTATCATTGCGAGATTCATGCAAATACAGTTTGGCAACTGTAGTGTATGCTTTAGAATACCTGAAATGTATTTATGTATGTATTTAAAAACTAATTAAGGCATCCAAAGCAGAGGTGGTACTCAGCAGGTTCTGACCAGTTCTGGAGAACTGGTAGCGGAAATTTTGAGTAGTTTGGAGAACTGGCAAATTCCATCTCTGACTGGAGATTTTACAGTATCCTTCCCCTGCCACACTCACCAAGCCATGTCCACAGAGCCGGTAGTAAAAATATTTGAATCCCACCACTGATCCAATGCTGTTATTCAACAAAATTACATCCCCCCACCCCCCTAAAGATAATCTCATCTATGAGGGGAAAGTCTTCCAATCAGGGACGATCTCCTGGGATGTTTAAATCCTTCTTCTGAATACTTGGCTTATCCTGTGCTTTTTAAAATAAGCTGAGAGAAGTATCTGCAAAGCAGTAATGTGGCTAAAAGGGTTAGTGCATTGTCCCTCATGTTGGAAAAGACCTGCTTATATTGTTCAAAGAGAAACTAAAAATAATGCTAAAACAGAACAAACCATGTGAAGAATCTCAGATGTTAGGTCAGCGGTGGGCAATTATGGCCCCTTTACGACCTGTGGACCTCAACTCCCAGAATTCCTGACACAGCCATATTGGATCAGGAAACCTGGGACTTGAAGTCCACAGGTCGTAAAGGGGCCATAGTTGCTCACCCGTTTCAGGCGCTATCAAATTTATCGCTGATTTACCTGAAGAAGAGGGGGCTGCTTTTCTGTAGCCGAAGCCTTGTCCATCCAAGAATCCAAAGGTTTCAGAGTGGTGGAGGCCTGAGTAACTACAGGAAACTTAGCAGCTAAGGTTGGCCGACTGGCTATGTGCAACTGTTGTTCCTGCTGCACTATCTGCAGTTTCTTCAACAACTCCTGAGGTGAAATGACGCCAGAATTTCCAGAGTGGTTCCCAGGAAGAGGATGTGACTGCTTAGGAGGTTTGGATTGTTCTTTACCAAGGGCTTGGCTTGGCAGGGAACCATTGAAGTACATCATGGGTGGCTGTATTACACTGTTTACCTGGGCCACCAAGGAGATGGCTGGAGTCCTGCTGAAGCCTGGAGCAGCCGAATTTGCTAGTCCTATGCTGTTAGTTTCCACTTTAGTCATCTGTTTGGACTGGCCTTGCAACTGCTGGAGCAAGCGTCTTGTGCAAGCGGCATTCTGGGCGGGATGAGAACTCCCAGTGCTCTGTGACGTCACCGGCTGGAAAAGCCCAGCGAAAGCTTCCCCACCCATGGAAGGGTGGCTGCCATTCTCGCAGAGGCGGTTCTCTGGGAGTTCAGAGACCGGGTGAAGCTCTGGCCCGCGTACCATAAGCTTTTGAATGGCTGGGCAGAGCTGTTTTTCTGTTGTGGGCGAGTGTCTTGTGGGTTCCTCGTATGAGAAAGAGCGTACAACTCCTTGCCTTGGAGGAAAGTTGTCTGGGTGGAGTTTCTGAGGTGGCTCTGATACATTTTGGTATAGGCTTGATTTTTCCTGCTTTCCAAAGAGAGTCATAAGGGATAGGTGCTGAGGCTCAGAATCTGTGTTCTGCAAGAAGAAAGGAAGAATAATTAAGAACAACTCTGACTTGACTAGCTGCATTAGCAACAATCAAGAGAAACAAACCCTCATCGGGACTTAGGATGGGAGAAAGTGAATAGATAGTTATGAGGGGAAATGGCAGGTATGAGACTGAAGTTATCCCCTACTTATATTGACTTGCTTTGAGCTAGCCATGGCTAGATTTTCATAACACAAGGCAGTGAGGTCACATTTTTCTAGTGGCCATAAGCCTGACCCTTAGGCACACACTTGCACAGTGATATTGTGGTGGAATTTCTGGGTAGAGCAGAGGGGAGAGTGAAGAAGGGGTCCAGCTTGGAATCACTCTGTGGGAGGAAGCAACAGGGGTCAGACTGTTAAAGGCTTTATCTGCCTGTTCCCAAGAGAATGCAGTTAGTCTGGCAAAATTCTTCATGTAGAGGAACTTCAGTAAAGAAACTTCTTTGGCCTACTCCCAAGTTTTTCTGGTGCAAATCACCTGACAGACAGCAAGCAGCCTATATTTTTCCTATTATGACATCACAATTGTTTCCACCAAGGATGCAGGATCCGTGATTCCCTGATAAAAACTAAGCAGCAGAAGCCTCTTTAAAAAAACCCATTGAATCAAGTTCACAATCTGCCCCTGGTTTTATCTGATCAATCTGAATGTAACTAAAGACATGTCCAAATCTCCCAGAGATGATTCTATACACACTTACATTAAAACAAACCCCACTGTACTTAAGAAACTAATCAGTTGACATTGAATAGGCTAGTTTATCATGAATACAAATATGCCCACGTACCTGGACATTCTGACTTTCCCTGGGTTTTAGAGGGATTGGTTTGATCAAGTTGGGATTGTGGTAGAGAGCAGAAGAACTGGTCATTGGTTTTGGCTCGGAGCATGTTTTACACTGCAAAACATACACACACAAAAAGGTGCTGTTTTACTCAAGAAGCAATGTTTCATCTCAAGATCGATAGGACTGTAGATTGTGAAATTGGAAAGATCAAGTCCAACTCTCTGAAGTTGACTGTCAAGCCTCTTTAAAATCTCAAGAGACAGTGATTCTTAACAAACACCCTAAAAAGGAGGTTTCATTGTTTCTACAGATTTTACTGTCAGAACATTGTCCTTATATTGAAACAAGAATTAGGTAGCTACAGCTTGTATCCATTATGATTAACAGCATCACTGGAATCAAATATAGTTAAAATTCAGAAAAAACTTCCAGGGTTGAAAAATGATCACCAGAATCAAGGATACTTGAAAGGAACATAATATCATTTTATAGGAAGAGTAAGCACATGCAATCCATAACGTAAGTACAATGCTGATTTCCATAAAAGACTTTTTAAATGTAATTTTCCATTCCTGATTATCTCCTCAGTTTGCATGTAATGTACATATAAAACCAACTAAGAGCATTTAAAGCAAATCATAATGTTTGAACAAATGTAGTTTCAGGTTCCAGATGTTATTACTTGATTTTTACAGCTTCCGAAGATACATAAACATATGCCCTTCAATGCAAGATTTTTAAAGCATCATAGATACTTTAGCAAAAACTCTATATTGTTAGGGAACTTAAATTCAACTGACTTCAATTATATACAATCTGATATTAAAAGAGAAGGGAAAATGCAAAATTGTATAAATGATAAAATTGTTACCTCAAAATTAAAAAGTTCTCTATTCAAATCCAGGCAAATCAAAGAAGCTAAGCTTTAAGCAAAAATAACTGACATCCTCATTTTCTCTTGAGATGATATTCCATACAGTATGGGTCATCACAAATGAAATGGTCTTGTCCTATATTTTAAGCCATGGAACATCAGATGATAGAAAGATGCAGAAAACAATTCAGAAGTTTTGGAAGTCTCATATAGCAGAAAAATAAAAAAAAATAAAAACTCTTCAACTACTCAGGATTCAGAATCATACAGAAGGAACGCTGGTATAAATTTGCATTCAGATATTCAAAAGTTAACATGAACTCTCATTATTGCCACAATTTATTCTGCATCCAGAAAACTAAAATGCTGAGAATTAAGGAGCTGAATATAAAATGGTTCCTGTGAGTGGCATCTGATAATGAAAAAATGAAGGGGGAAAAATGGATTACAGGATGTATTATAGATTCTGAGGGAGGCACCTCTCAGTCATGGGGGTAAAAGAAGCATAGACATATCAACAGAAGCAAACAAATCTCTAATTTCTAGTGATGCTTCTAGCAGAGGAACAGAAAAGCAAACCTCGTTACTGGTCTCCTACTTCATGCTGAGGTATCACTATTGTTAGGCCTTGCCAGTTTTTTGAGAATCATTATTCCCAAATTCCCTCATTATTTGCCTTGACAAAAACTAAATCATTTTTTCAATAATGATTATCTATTCCTGAAAAAGAAGGCACCTGGACTCTAAAAATGAACAGAACGGCAGCCTAACAACTCTCAAAAGCACCTCTGATAGCTTATTAATTCCAATCATAAGATATTTTTCGATGTAGAAATGGCCAGAGGTGTAAGACAGATATTGGCTTTATGCTAATAATCATCCCAAAGAACAGACTCCTAAACTCAGCCTTCCTTAACCTCATTCATGGGAGGATGGAAAACTACAGCCATGTGATCTTTCACACACACAAAAAATCACTAACAGTGTGGAAAGCACCAAGATGATAAGACCACAGGTATCAAAGTCAATCTCATCACGTGATGTACTGTGACGTATCGTGACACTTCTTACCTTTGCGGAGCCGGGATGGGCATGGCTTGTGCATTACACATCCGGCCCGTGGGCCGCCCGTTGGACAAGCCTGGGTAAGACTGTCTTAAGTCACTGCTTGAGCATTTAGGATTGTTTTCTAAAGTGGGATAGCCACACAGCTAATCCTCAACTTACAACCATAATGGAACCTACCCATCACAGCTATAAGACTTGATGGTTGTAAATCATGACACTCATGTGACCGATCTTGTGGCAGCTGTTAAATAAACCAATGGTTTACTATGAGCTGGTTTTGCCAAAAATCAGAAGTTAATGCTGGGTTTTGGCAAAACCATTGTAAAATGTGGTCCTGTGGGATACCGCAAACAGCTGTAAATGCAGGCCAGCTGCCTAGTCCCTGACATGCAGTCACATGATTGCGGGGGGGACGTGGCCATTGGAATTGGTAATAAGTATCCGGGGGGGTGTGTCATCTTAACTTGAAATTAATAGATTTGATAACCTTAAGTGTTCATCAAGGCTGCACATAAAGATACCAAACTTTATTATGAATGAATTTGTTCATTGTTTAATAAGCTCATCTTAAGAACCTACCATATTCCAGAGCACATGAGATGCACTGGACTAAGACCCAGCTTCAAGTCCGTCCTCAGCCATTGAAGCTCATGGTATGGCTTTCGGTCAGTCGCTAACATTCACTCAGCTTACCTCACAGGTCTGTTGTGAGGAAATGCTGAGGAGAGAGTGCTATGTGTGCTACCTTGACTTCTTAGAGGAAAGGTGAGATAAAAACTTAATAAATACAAAAACTTCATTATATTGGCTAAAATCAAGGAAAGAAATAGGGATAGTCTGAGATGGATGGATGTTATTTATTGACTGAAGTGTCCTTTTCTGCTCTTTCACTAGAAGTCATTGGAGAACATTAAATCATTAAATAAACCTGTCTGCTTAACAGTGCAATACAAAGTCAGTCCATTCATCCATTCATCCATCCGTATAACTATCAAGAAAACCTATACACCCTTATAAAAAATCAGTAATGCTCTTATTTCTGTTCCCAGTGTTCTCTTGTTCGTTTCTCTTTTTCTTTCTTCTTCTTTCTTTTTCTTTCTTTCTTTCTTTCTTTCTTTCTTTCTTTCTTTCTTTCTTTCTTTCTTTCTTTCTTTCTTTCTTTCTTCTTTCTTTCTTTCTTTCTTCTTTCTTCCTTCCTTCCTTCCTTCCTTCCTTCCTTCCTTCCTTCCTTCCTTCCTTCCTTCCTTCCTTTCTCTTTCTTCTTTCCTTCCTTTTTTCTTTCT